GCATCGTTAGCCCTCTTCATCGCAATCCTCTTGGCCTGCGTTACGGCCGTCGACGCCGTCGGCACCCGATTGGTGGCCACAGAAGCGGCCGTTCGGTTGACAATCATTCGGTTTGATGGAGAACTCGCTGACAATCGACCCGTTATTCCTATTCTATTCTTAACGCCAATTGTTTCTATAATTATTGATAAAATGTTTATTAATTAATGTGAAAATGAGATGATATATGGCTTTCAAATACCAGTTTGAGTGCTTCTCAAAGCGTTTGGCGCAACGATTGGTTTTTTAGGCAATTGTGTAATCCTTTCATTTAATTTAATCATGTTTTTATTATTAAGAGTTGTGTTAATACTGCTCCCACTTATGGTCACCCGTCGGATGGGATTCATTGAATCCAAACCCGAAGAGTTTCCCAAACGCGCAAAAATGGTTGAATTCTTGTCACTAGTCTTAGTCTCAGCGCCTAAACGAGAAAAAACAGATGATTTGGATTTGACCGCAGAAGAGGACAACTTCAGAGATTCGAGTCCTAGCATTGAAACCGTTTGCGAGCCGTTCCTCACGACAGGGCTGTCGTAGTCGTCCTCATCCGCCACAACCACTCTTCGCATCTTTGCATTCGTCGTCTTAACCATTCCCGACGTCTGTGCCGTCCGTTTCATACCCGTCGCCGCCGACTCTTGAGGAGCGGACACAGTATTAAACCTATGGTTCACGGGTTGTGTCTTCTGGTTATTGGCGGGAAGTGTTTGCCGATTGGGTGTCGGCTTCTGTGTCGGGTCGAGAGAGGTGTGCGGACCGAGCAGTTGGTCTCGAGTGGTGATGTGGTCCACACTCTTGGCGTGTCTTAAGATGGCGATGACATCACCCATGGTTTTGATGCCCATATCGTAGAGGATCTCTTTGGTTAAGTCGCTTAACATATCGTTTTGGATGCGATGCGAAGTGAAGATAATGGCATAATTGGTGGCCACAGTCGATGGCAGACCCGCGTCTCTGAAGAACTTGAGCCACCGATTGGTGGTATTGGTCTTCGTGTCGGACATTATCACCGCAACGGTGTCTGCAAAGCACGTGTCAAACGCGAAGATGTGATGCCTTTCCTAACGAAACAAACAATTGATTTCAATGTTTGGCTTTTCATTCAAAAAGATGTCTTTCAATGAAGACATGTATGGCTCGACTCCAACGCCATCTCTCACTCGACCCTCACTTCAGACATCACTTCACACTTCACTCAAGCCTTCAGTTCTTGTTTTGACGTAAAAAACATGAAAAAAGTTTTTTCACATGAAATTCAAATGACATTTCATTCAATGATTTAGCGATGAATTGGTTTGAAATCAACTTTTATTGGTTTCTCTGGACATCAAGTCTTGGATACGCTTTCTATTCATTCATCTCTGACTCCAAATGTAATCACTATTTGTT